GTCTTCCATCTTCAGGAAAAGTGTGTAAATGAGCTGCGTAAACTGATGAATTACACCTGTTCGTATCCAGCTGTTCGTGCATGCAGAGAGGTTATTTACATAATTACCACCCCCAAAAACACCATATAAGGCTATGTTTCCTGCCCCACATACCAGGAAGTGTTCATTCATGAATGACATCGCAAAGTAAAAAAGAGGAACTTTACGAGTTCGGAGATTTAAGTCCTGCTCTCCGAAACTGAGAAAAGGAAATCTGTTCTCTTTAGCAGCGTCATGTGGAATTAAAGGAGCTGCTTAAAGGAATAAAATGTGCTGTTAATGTCRTGTCTCCTGTGGGTCGTTACAGTCACAGGAATAAAAATATAAATCATATTCATGTCTTTATTCATCCTCATTCAGGAGGACATTCTTTTGGTCTTTAAGTTCTTCCTCATGAGAGTTTGTCGTCGCAGGTAAAAGTTTTTGACAGTTTCATAGTAAAAGGCTGTGCGGTCTGAAGGAGCACCATTAGATTTTAGACTAAATTAAATGTTTTATGCAGAAGCCACTTATGAAAAAATTACAGTAATTGAATTCACTCAGTTAAACGATACATAAAATGCTTTAAATACCCAGTTAAGTCTTTATGTAGACTCAAAGTGTAACYATTAATCACACAGCGTGGCTTTGTTTTGGATTTTATTTCTGTTAAAGCTTTTTCTTCAGTTTATGACCAAACAGGAAAACRCTCATCAATATTTAATTGATGACATAATATATATGTTGTTGTTTTTTTTTTCGAGTCAAAAAAACCTGCAGTTTATCTGTAAAGCAGCAGGACTTTTGGTGGTTTAAGCAGCTGTTAGGCTCAGAGCACAGCTGCAGCTCATTAAGCTGATTAGCAGCCTGGTTAGCTGACAAGAGAGGTTTCGAGCTGAAACTCCACACAGACTGATGGAAAAGGGGGAAAAAGCCAAACTGTGGACTTTAAATTCAGCTGGGAAGCTTTTGTGTTGAAGTAAGTAATGCGTTTGGAAGTTTAGACATCTTGATAACATGATACAGTTTGTTTGTTGCTAAATCAGGCATAGATAAACGTGTTAAAATGCTTTGAAAATCATTATTTGGTTTGAAAGAATTATAAACTATAATGAGAAACTTGTCTTATGTGTTTATGCTTGGAAATGAAATGCTGTTTTGATGGTATACTTGCTAATACTTTAAGATGCAATAAATAACATCAAAATATTAATACTGATGTGGATAAAATTATCCCACACCAATATCAAATCTGTCAGTGAATTAAAAAAACATTTAAAAGTCACTTTTAAAATAGCAACAATCGACATTATCAAGTATTAAAGAGGCTGTGGAGGACAGAATGGGTTTAGTTTGAGTATTAAAGTGTTGTTAGCATTATTGCTAACATGAGCTAATGTTCAAAGCAGTAAAAAACGTTCACCGCAGTGCTCGCTGTTCCAAACCCTGACTGTGTGAAAGGCTTTTATACGGAGCTGTGACGTGAGCACGTACWGTTTTAACCAATAGGAAAATTCAACTGCAGTAGTCATCGTACAACCATAGAGGGCAGCACTAAGACGGTTTTAGAAGAAACATTGCAGAATTAAAGACATTTACACAAAAATGCACAGAAATATAAAAAATATTACACTTCAGGCACAATATGACAGTTTATCTGCAAAAAAGGTGTATTTTTGGGGTTTAGTTACTCTTTACTGAAGCTGTGAATGTTTTTGTTTGGGTAATAAAGCTCATGCTCTGTAATTCATCACTGAAACAAMAGGACCCTCGTGTCCATTTAATTTCCCATAACTTCCTTAAAATCCAAGATATCACCATGAAATTTTCAAAAATGATCCACCTCCTTCTTTTCAGAAGCATTTTGTATCCTAAAAACAAAAAAATACATAAAAAAAAATCCAGTAAAAAGTTCAGGACATCAAATTGCAACATCAAATGTTTTGGAGATTTCATGAAATAAACCATGTGGATATTGTTGTAAACAAAGTCCCTCAACCAGTGACAGCRTGCGAAATGTGTTGAGTGATGAAGATGAACATCAACACTTACTAAATCCTTCTCATCATTGCCAGGTCTGTAGTAAAAAAACATAATATGTTAATACAATTTGTGACAAAGGCTGATAAAACAGTGCTTTTCGTGCAAGTGTATCTGTTTAAGGAGTCACTGGAAAATATTCAGATGATTTATCTRTGTTGACTTTGACGTCAGCAGAGTTTCTCTGAATTTGTTGAAGTGATGAAACAGGAGCGATAATTAGGAAGGTCAGCCTCAGTGCAGAWTTTACAATCTGGTCTCAGCAGTCAGGGATGAAAATGGTAGCTACTGATGAAATAAACATCCCTATCATACTTTCAGATGCAATAAATGGGGGAAAAAAAATCTAAATGCATCCATCAAACTGAATATTTATCCATCAAACAGGAGTGCCTCAAGGATGTGTGCTCGGGTCCACTGCTTTTTACTCGTCTCTTAATGTAAAGTTGAAGATGTAGTGTGAGCTTGTTGTTGTTTGACCGCGGTTTACGTCAGAGTGAGCATCCATCCCTTGAAAACAGACCTGTTTTCCTCTTGGTCAGCGGTGCTTTGGGTTGGAAGTTGTTAATTTGATCTGCTGCAGCCACCAGACCCCCGCGCTCCTCCTGAGGGATAAATCTATGATGCCTCGTCTCCCTGTGCTGCTGTAAACTAATGAAGAGTAAAGACKGAGGAGACGAGATACCGATCTGACTTGGCTGCCTGCTTGAGCRCAGAGGTCGGCCAACCGGGCATCAGAGAGTCGCGGGGAGGGCAGACGAATCCGAGTGAAGGATGGGACGTGGCTTCAGCTCCAAGAGACAAAAACAAGAACAAGATTTTTTTTTATATAAAACTGAGTCGGAGCTGTTTATAAAAACCAGGAGAAATGTTCAAAATTGATGTACACTCTGCGATGCTGGTAGAGGCCGCCCTTTAATCTGGTTCATCTGGAGGTCTCTTCCTGTTGCGGGGGGCTTGTCCTCGCTGCTCGCTGCTGCAGTTCATTCTCAGGACAGGATACTGTGCTGTTTAGTCTTTTATGTTCAGCTCATTCAGCAGRTAGATKCTCTGACYTMMRCTTATATTTTTCAAAGCATTTAACTTCATTTAGATATTTTCCCCAGTAGAAATGAACTGAGATATTTTCCTTTTTAAAAATCTGCTTCAGAATAATTGCTTCATTTTTGCCTTCTTGAGTTTTTAAGCTATCCTTTCAGCTGACCTTTGGATACTTCTTCAGCACAGTTAATTAGCATTCTACTACTTTTAGCTTGAACAACCACAGTTTCACTCAGCGTTCATACAAACTGAATGTCTCAGATTATAAAGGGGCTGCACATAAATCAAATAAAACTGAGTTAAAATAAAGTTGATTAACTTTTCTTGCACACTGCTCTGAGATGCTCGTTTGTTCTGTCCTGATACGTTCCTGAAAAAATGCTTTTGATCAAACTTTCGTAAAGATTTGTTTCTTTAGATTATTACTTTGTTTACAAGTTGCTGCTGTTTGGATTTATTTTCCTGTTGCACATTATTTTCCACCTGTTTTTTTTATATTTTTTTTTTAGTTTTGACACAGATTTGACTCTTAATAACTTTGCTTACAGGTTTGAGATGTTCAGTTT